CTTCCGCCTCAGCCTTCCAAGTAGCTGGAACTACAGGCGCGCACTACTACACCCAGCTAGTTTTTATTTATTATAGAGATGAGGTCTCGCCAAGTTGCCCAGGCGGGTCTTGAACCCGCGGGCTCAGGCAATCCACTCACCTCCGCCTCCCAAAGTGCTGGGATTACAGGCTAAGCCACCGAGCCCAGCCTTAAATTTATTTTGTTTGAATTTGGCCTTGGCCTCCCAAAATGCTGAGATTACAGGCATGAGCCACCATGCCCAACTCAGAATTTGGTTTCTAAATACATCTCCACTAAAAAGAATCAAGGCTCCCTAGAGAACTGGTTGATCCCAGGGCGGGAGCAGGGAAAGTTTGAAGAGATCACAGAACACTCTGTGTGCCAGGAAGTAAGGAAGTGCTTCCAAGAGTGATGGAAATGTTCAGAAAGACATAGAATCACCTCACACTCATTTGGATGGCCACTATCAAATAACAGAAAATAATGAGTGTTGATGAGGATATGGAGATACTAGAACCTTGTGCACTGTTGATGGAATTGGAAACTGGTGCAATCATTATGGAAAACAGCACAGTGGTATCTCAAAAAATAAAAAATAGAATTACAATATCCAACTATCCCACTTCTGCATATATGGTCCAAAAAAATGGAAAACAGAGTCTCGAAGAGATATTTGCATACCCATAACAGCACTATTCACAATAGCCAAGAAGTAGAAGCAACCCAAGTGTCCATCAATAGAAGAATGGATAAACAAAATGGGGTATATGCATACAACGGAATATTAAATAGCCTTAAAAATTAAAGAAATAGCCAGGTGCAGTGGCTCAGCCTATAATCCTGGCACTTTGGCAGGTTGAGGTGAGAAGATTGCCTGAACCTGGAACTTTGAGACCAGACCGGGCAACTTGGTGAGGTCTCATCTCTACAATAAATCACAAAAAAACTAGCCGGGCATGGTGACATGCATCTGTAGTTCCAGCTACTTGGAAAGCTGAGGCAGAAGGATTGCCTAAGTTCAGCAGGTTGAGGCTGCGATGGCCGTGAGCATGCCACTGTACTCCAGCCTGGGCGACACAGTGAAACTCCAATTCAAAAAAAAAAAAAAAAGAAATCCTGTCACATGCTACAACATGAATGAACATGAGAACATTAAGCTAAGTGAGATAAGCCAGTCACAAAAAGACAAATACTGTATGATTCCACTTATATGAGATAGCTAAACTAGTCAAATTCATAGAAAAGAAAGTAGAAAAAGTAGAATGTGCTTACTAGGGGCTGGAGAAATGGGAGGGGGGAGGCTAAGGGGAGGGAAATTGTTTAATAGTATACAGTTTTCATCAGTTTCACAAGATGAAAAGATTCTGGAGATCTGTTTCAAAATGAGGCAAATACACTTAATGTTATTAAATGTACACCAAAAAATAGTTAGGATGGCAAATTTTATATGTTTTTACCATAATAATAATAAAAGCTTTTTTCTAAAAAAAGACAGTCAATAAACAAGTACTGGCAAGGATGTGGAGAAATTGGAACCTTCATTCATTGCTGATGGGTCTGTGAAATGGTACGATTTATTTTTTTTAAAGTTTGGCAATTCATGAAACACAGAGTTACCATATGACTTAGCAATTGTATTCCTAGGTTTAGACCCAAGAGAAATGAAAATATACGTCCAAACAAAAACTTGTGTACACATGTTCATAGCAGCATTATTTATAATAGCCAAAAATGGGAACAACCCAATGTCCATCAACTGATAAATGTGGCATATACATACAATGGAATGTTATTTGGCCATAAAAAGAAATGAAGTACTGCTACATGCTACAGTCTGAATGAATTTTGAAAACATGATAATGGCCAGGCATGGTGGCTCATGCCTGGAATCCTAACACTTTGGGAGGCCAAGGTGAGAGCCCAGGAGTTGGAGACAAGCCTGGGCAAAATAGTGAGACCTTGGCTCTACAAAAAAAAATTAGCTGGGAGTGGTGGCGTGTGCCTGTAGTCCCAGCTACTTAAGATGCTGAGGTAGGAAGATCACTTGAGCCAAGGAGGTGGAGGCTGCAGTGAGCCATGTTTATGACACTGCACTGCAGTCTGGTAGACAGAGTGGGACCCCAGTTCAAGAAAAAAAAAAGGAGGCGACCAGGCTTGGTTTGGGTCCCCTCCCCCACCTTGGGCAGTAAATCTTCTCCCTTCTTTCTCTCTCTAATTTTCTTTTAAATAAACTTTTCTTTCTTCGCCTCTTAAAAAAAAGAAAGAAAGAAAAAATGAGAAAAGTACCCATATTCTCACTACTTGTATACAGCATGACTATTTCCTTTTTCTACATTTTTGGATTGGTGGTGACTTTTCCACAAACAGAACTAAGATATGAATGTTCACTAAAGATGTTAAGGTCAGCCGGGCTCAGTGGCTCAGCCTGTAATCCCGTGCCTTTGGGAGGCTGAGGTGAGTGGATTGCCTGAGCCCACAGGTTCGAGACTCGCCTGAGGCAGAAGGATCACCGGAGCCCAGCAGGTCAAGGCTGCGGTGGCTGGGAGCGCCCACTGCACTCCAGTCTGGGCAACAGTGAGACTCCAACTCAAAAAAAAAGAATATCCAAATTCAAAAATTCTAGATTCCGTATAAGTTCTCTGCTCCAGCTTTCTCACTAAAGTTTCCTCAAGATGTGCCCCCTAGCAAATGCTGTCCCACCATGGGGACATTAGCTCTGAAACAGATCAGCAGAGAACCCTTAAAAAAAAAAAAAAAAAAGCACTCCCAAATGTCAAGTATGCTAGGATAGGGAGAGCAATACAAGTTAGCAGAAGGAATATAATGTAGTGATTTAACTACAGGTACTGGGTACAGATCTGCTTCTGATTTCACCTAATTCACACAGATCAGCGTGGTTATTGATCAAATCACATGGCTTCTCTGAGCCTCCATTTCCTCGTATATAAAACAGGGACGATAGGAGGGACGGGCATACCTCATCTACAAGGGGACCTGCATAATCAATGTTTGTATACCTAACCCTGAATTTTACCTCACAGCTTTAAAAAAAAAAAAAAGAAAAAGAAAAAAGAAAAAAATAAAAATTTAAAAAATAAAATAGGAATGGTAATAGTGCCTCATAAGGTTTTGGTGAGAATTGCATTAGCCAATATGTGTAACATGCTTAGTTCCATAAACAAAGGTTGCTATTATTATGATCCAAGGATGAATTTTTTTTTTTTTGTAAAGCCACCTGCAAACTACCCACCCACACCTTCTCTAGCTACACAGCAAAACCACACAGCAATTGCCAGCTTCAGATAACATTTTGTTTAGTCATTGTGGCCAAGAGACAACCCAATGCCTAATAGACAATAGGACCCAGGAAATGTTTCCTGAATAAAATTAGTCTCAAACTCCTTTGCTTAAAATGAAGGGTGCCTCTCACACCTTTTCCAGATTATGAAATTGATTAAATTATTATTATTATTATTTTTTGAGTCAGAGTCTCACTCTGTCACCCAGGCTGGAGTGCAGTGGCATGCTCGCGGCCACCACAGCTTCAACCTGCTAGGCTCAGGCGATCCTTCTGCCTCAGCCTTCCAAGTAGCCGGAACTACAGGCGCGCGCTACCACGCCCGGCTCATTTTTCATTTATTGTAGAGATGAGGTCTCGCCAAGCTGCCCAGGTGGGTCTCGAACCCGCGGGCTCAGGCAATCCATTCACCTCAGCCTCCCAAGGCGCGGGATTACAGGCTGAGCCACCAAGCCCGGCTTCTTTATTTTTAAATGAATATTATATTAGATTGGCAAATCATAATTGTATAGATCTGTGTGGTACAATGGGATGTTTTGATATATACGTACAATGTGGAATGATTAAATCAGCAAGCAAAGATAACTTTTGTATTAATTTTTTTTTTTTGAGTTGGAGTATCTCTGTCACCCAGAGGCTCAGGCAATCCACTCACCTCAGCCTCCCAAAGGCCCGGGATTACAGGCTGAGCCACCGAGCCCGGCCACATGTCCTCTTTTATCTTTCTTTTTTCTTGGTGTTTTTTTTTTTTTTTCAGTCAGGGTCTCAGGGTCTCTCACTCTGTTGCCCAGGCTGGAGTGCAGTGACACAACTATGGCTCACTGCAGCCTCCATATCTGTGCTCAAGCAATCCTCCTGCATCAGCCTTCCAAGTAGCTGGGACTACAGGCATGCACCACCACATGTGGCTAATTTATTTATTTATTTTATTTTGTATGTGTGGTCTCGAACTCCTGGGCTCAAGCAATCCTCCTGCCTTGGCCTCCCAAAGTGCTGGGATTACATGCGTGAGCCACTGCGCCTGACCAGTCCCCTCGTGTCTTTTGTAAAACAAGGAAAAGTATAAATCTAAATAAGAAAGTAGGTATATTTGGTAATGTAATTTCTCTGAGCAAAAAGGAAAAGAGCAAACTGCAAGTTATTGCACTCAACTTACTGATCGATTTTGGATTCTGTGGTGTTTCCAGCTTTGTCTCTCAATTTGATTGTAATGGCCCCTCTTCTTACATTCTTGTTCCATGTTATAATATCCACAAAGAAATGATACACTGCAAAACAGGGAGAAAACACAGTAACAGAGAGGTACTCCCAACTGCTTCCCTGAAGGATAAGTTTCTAAAAACCCAGCCTCCCTAATAACTGAGTCCCTTTTTCTCTTCCTCTTGAGTTCCTCTGCAAAGATTCAGGGCAGAATTTTCTTTCTTTTTTTTTTATTTTGAGTTGGAGTCTCACTCTGTCGCCCAGACTGGAGTGCAGTGGCCGCTTCCAGCCACCGCAGCCTCGACCTGCTGGACTCCGGCTATCCTTCCGCCTCAGCCTTCCAAGTAGCTGGAACTACAGGCGCACGCTACCACGCCCGGCTAATTTTTTGATTTGTTGTAGAGATGAGGTCTTGTCAAGTTGCCCAGGCGGGTCTCGAACCCGCGGGCTCAGGCAATCCACTCACCTCGGCCTCCCAAAGTGCTGGGATTACAGGCTGAGCCACCGAACCCGGCAGGGCAGAATTTTCTAATGTCCCTTTCTCTCCTCTTTGGTAAAGATGGCACGAGAGAAAGCAGAGCTCAGTGGAATTCAGTCATCCTGTTCAGGCATCACAGTGGAGTCAGTGTTCCCATCCCTAACTGAGAACCCATGGCCTACTGCTGAGTGTGCCTGGTTCACTTCAACCCCTGTGCATTTTAGAATCAACCAAAGTGACCATTTGGAGACCCTACGCAGGTCTCCTACAACCTGGGCCATGTCCACCAGCCTGCATGCCTCCTCATCTCTTTTGCACTCAAGCCAACTCACCTGCCCTTCCTGCATTGCCAAGCTCTTTTGCTCCTGGGCCTTCCTGGGCCTGGACACTTACTTTGCAAGCCTTGAAAACCCATCCTTCACGGTTCAGCTTAATGTCATTTCCTCCAGGAACCCTTCCTTGACCCCCAGACTAAGTCAAATCTCCATTCCTGGAGTTCCCATCATGCTTGGAATTCCCATATCATTTAGCATCCCTTACCATATTTACAAAGGCAAGAAAGAATGACAATCAGTGCAGGTACATCTATGCAAATATTGCCTGAATAATGTCTTATGGGGTTTTAAAAAAGAAGTAAAATTAAAACATACTACAATAACTAGGAAATAATTATTATTTCTCTGTATAATGCCAGCAGCACCCAATAAATTCCTGTTGAATAAATAGGGATATATGACATGTCCAGAGAACTATTCTTCCACCCTGGTCTTTGCTTCCCAAGGTCAGGTATGTTTTGGGAGGATGAGGATCCCTTCGTGATGGTCAGATTCACTAACTTTTTTTTTGAGTCTCACTCTATTGCCCAGGCTGGAGTGCAGTGGTGCATCACAGCTCACCACAGCCTCTACCTCCTGAGTGCAGGCCATTCTTCCACCTTAACCTCCTGAGTAGCTGAAACTACAGGTGTACACCACCACATATGGCTATTTTTTAAAAAAATTTTTGTAGAGACAAGTTCTTGCTATGTTGCCCAGGCTGGTTTTGAACTCCTAGGTTCAAGTGATCCTCCCACCTCGGCCTTCTAAAATGCTAGCATTATAGGTATGGGCTACCATGTTTAGCCCAGGTTCACTAACTCTTGATTAGATTTCAGAGAAAGAGAAAGAGGCTCAGGGAGATGATGAGCCCATGAAGGAATAAAGAACTCTGGTCCTGGAGTTGCCATTTCAAATGGTCCATTATTGATCAAGGGCTTGCCCCATGCAACCAAGCAGATGCCAAATCCAGGACTGCCACAAATATCTCTAAAAGAGGAGGGAAGCCAGTGATCTGCAATTTCTTTTAAAAGAGTTGTTCCAAAGCCGGTCTCGGTGGCTCAGCCTGTAATCCCGTGCCTTTGGGAGGCTGAGGTGAGTGGATTGCCTGAGCCCGCGGGTTCGAGACCCGCCTGGGCAGTGAGACCTCATCTCTACAATAAATCAAACAATCAGCCAGGTGTGGTAGCGCGCGCCTGTAGTTCCAGCTACTTGGAAGGTTGAGGCGGAAGGATCGCTGGAGCCCAGCAGGTCGAGGCTGCGGTGGCCGAGAGCGGCCACTGCACTCCAGTCTGGGTGACAGAGTGAGACTCCAACTCAAACAAAAAGTAAAATAAATAAATAAATAAATAAAATAAAAGAGTTGTTCCAGGCCGGGCATGGTGGCTCACGCCTATAATCCCAGCACTTTGGGAGGCCTAGGTGAGAGGATTGCCTGAGCCCACAGGTTCAAGACCAGCCTGGGCAACTTGGCGAGACCTCATCTCTACAAAAAAAAAAAAAAAAAAAGAGTTGTTCCAGCTGGCACAGTGTCCATGCCTATAATCTCAACACTTTGGGAGGCTGAGGAGGGAGGATGGCTAGAGGCCAGGAGTTCGAGACCAGTCTAGGCAGCATAGCAAGACCTTATCTCAGCTGGGCTTGGTGGCTCAGCCTGTAATCCCGTGCTTTGGTAGGCTGAGGTGAGTGGATTGCCTGAGCCCGCGGGTTCGAGACCCGCTTGGGCAACTTGGCGAGACCTCATCTCTACAATAAATCAAAAAATCAGCCAGGCATGGTAGTGCGTGCCTGTAATTCCGGCTACTTGGAAGGCTGAGGCAGAAGGATCGCCAGAGCCCAGCGGGTCGAGACTGTGGTGGCCCGGAGTGGCCACTGCACCCCAGTCTAGGCGACAGAGTGAGACTCCAACTCAAAAAAATAAATAAATAAAAATAAATAAAAGGCCTTATCTCTACAAAAAAAAAATCAAAATAATAGACAGGCTTGGTGACGTGCACCTGTAGTCCCAGCTACTCAGGAGGCTGAGGAGAAAGGATCACCTGAGTCCAGGAGGTCGAGGCTGCGATAAGCTGTGGTTATGCAGGGCAACAGAGTGAGACCCTGACTCAAAAATAAATAAATAGCTGTTCCCAAGAAAAGTAAAAATGGGTACAAGTTTGCAAGAAAGAAATACATCCGCCTAGGTGCTTCCCAAGGTATCATCTGCTGCCCCTTTAATCCCATTTGAATACTCAAGTCCTTAATGTCTTTGGTTACCATGGTTACTTTAGAACCAGAACAGACCCACAGATATGGCTGACACCTGGTTTTTCCTAGCCCCAATTTCATGTCTCCTGCAGAATCGGGTATTTTCTGGAAGCTCTTCATGATTAGAATGGCTATCCAGTGAAGCTAACACTTCTGATTTGTGAGATCTTAATCCTCGTATCCTAGAAGATAGGCATTATTATTCCCATTTTACCAATCAGGACACTGAGACTCAGAGAGGTTGAATGACTTGACCAAGGTCATACAGCTATTATGTGGTAGACTCAGGATTCGACATAGGCCCTTCCAGCTCTTCCAGCTCCAAGGCCCATGCTTCACCACGGCCCTCACTTGTCAAGAAGTAACCAGGAAGCTGACTCAGTCAACCCTGAAATAAAAAGGCTGGGCAAAAGCAAACAACCACATCCACCACTCACTGCAGAATGGTTTCTTCTCAGTTGTGTCAAAGAATGCCTTAGTCATTAAGGGATCTTTCCCCTTTAAAGAGTCTTTCCAATGATCAGCATAATAGCCTGTAAAACAAGTCGGAAAAGTGTAACATTAACATGTATTATATAAACATGAAAGCAGTTGAGGTAACAAGAACAGTGAGTTCAACAGGAAAACCACCACCACCAAGGCAACTCCCCCCCACCCACTCACCCCATGGTGAGGACCCACAGGGCCACCCATCTCACTGGCTGATCCTGTCCCTAAGACCTGGAGTGAAAAAGGACTCTACAGTGGTTTTTCCCTTTTTACGGGTTCTCAGTAGCAGGATGGGGGAGGTGGGGAGGTAGGAGAGGCTGGTGTGGACTAAAAATAGCACTGACATTCTTCAGTAGTACATTCTTTTCTAAATTAAAATAGATTCAGGTTTATACCTAAAACAGCATCACTCTTGCAAGGCAATACGCTTTCTTGAAAAACTCCGATTGGGCCTCTAAATTCACAGACCCTAGGCTTGCCACGTGACCATGTCACCAAGCAGGTGAGCATCCACCTTCACATGCTGTCCAGAGGAGCCTCTTTCTCTCCTCCATCCCTACCCCTGGATCAAGTAAGATTCTGACTTACTTGATCCGGGTTGGGACCCAGGCATTGTATTTTTTTAAAAACTCACTAGGTGATTCTAACATGTAATCAGGGTTGAGAACCCCTTGTCTATAGCATGCCCAACTGTGAACTTGGGTTTTTCCTTTTGGAAAAAAATTAGAAAATTCTTGTGGCCATTCAGTTTCAAAGTCCCAACCAACTAGCAAAGTCACTAACCCCTCGCAAATATCCAAGCAGCCTCCCTGTATCTATTACCCCACCCATGCCCTGTGTGTGCACACAAGAGCCAGAGGGTAGGGTGAGAGCATTTACACACAGAGGACTTGTTGGAGGGGCCCGCTCTGCATGGTGCATTTGGCAGAAGCCTCTCTGGGCTCACATGGACCCTCTCCCAGCAGAGGTTGTGTGCAGAGAGAAGGTGTTCCTGTGCCCAAGGGAGCAGTCTATGTGAAGTGACTATAACCTGAGGTGGCCTGGAAACTTCTGGAATATTTTCCATGCTAGAATAGAGTGTACAGGGAGGTTGTACTACCCACTGGATGGCATACTCTGAAGATTGCTTTTCTGTTTTTTCAGTTTTTGTGTTAGGAGTCTCCCTTTGTCACCTAGGCTGGAGTGGAGAGCAGTGGTACAATTATGGCTCACTGTAGCATCAACTTCTTGAGCTCAGGCAATCCTGCCTCAGCCTCCCAGGTAGCTGGGACTGTAGGTGCATGCCAGCATGCCCAACTCATTTTTGTACATTTTTCTTTTTCTTTTTTTTTTTTTTTTTTGAGAGATGAGGTCTTGCTATGTTGCCCAAGCTGGCCTCAAATTCCTGGGTTCAAGTAAACCTCCCACCTCAGCTTCCCAAAGTGCTGGGATTTATAGGCATGAGCCACCATGCCCGGCCCAGATTGCTTTTCCAGTGCTGTTTATTATTAGAAGACTAGAGTAGTTCAAATAACAAATTGGCTAGAAGAAGCCAACTAGAAAAAAAATGTTTTAAATACAATTTGGGGCCCATTTTTAGACAGGAAAATGGTTCTGGGATTCACGCCAAAAACGAGTTCTTTGTTCATCAGAGAGAAAACTGCTTGTTGGACTTACCCAGAAGGGGACAGGGCTCCTTTTGTGGTATGCCGCAGCTGACACACTTGCCGTTCCTATAGTCCAGGTAGGATTCACAAGGATATGCGGTGATGTTACAGTTTTCTCTCAGGGAGGATAGGTACAGGTACACGGACCTCTGGTGGTCACATTTAAAATACTGCATCCCTTTTTTTCGTAAAAGAAATGATGAAAGAGCAGAGCAGTTGAAGAGTTCAATGCCACGTTTTATACACACATACAAAATGTATCATTCAGCACTGTGCTAACAGTTTCCATGTACTTGATTCCATTTAAACTGTATAGAAACTCAGAGATAAGCCGGGCTCGGTGGCTCAGCCTGTAATCCCAGCACTTTGGGAGGCTGAGGTGAGTGAATTGCCTGAGCCCGCGGGTTCGAGACCCACCTGGGCAACTTGGCGAGACCTCATCTCTACAATAAATAAAAAAATTAGCCGGGCATGGTAGCGCGCGCCTGTAGTTCCAGCTACCCGGAAGGCTGAGGCGGAAGGATCACCGGAGCCCGGCAGGTCGAGGCTGTGGTGACCGGGAGCGGCCATTGCATTCCAGTCTGGGTGACAGAGTGAGACTCCAACTCAAAAAATCAAAGCAAAACAAAACAAAACAAAAAACTCATAGATAAGGATTCTGGATGGCAAGTGGTGAGAGAAAAGATGAAATCAAATTAAGGTCGTGGCAAGAATTAAAGCAAATATGCTTTCGTTACAGACCTTGCCCTGATAACTAAATCAGAGCAATCGAGGTATCTTTCACTGCCACCTAATGTTTGACCCATAGATTGCCTACATTGTAACCATGCCTGTTAAAAGCCAGAGTTCAGGTCCCCACCTTCAGATATTTCAGATTCAAAAGAATCTTAGGAATTGGTATTTTAATAAACACTGCCCCTTGCCCCCCACCATGTGATCCTGACACATGTAAAAGTTTTAAAGCCCCTGGTCTAATTGCGGAATTACTTCACAGGCTATGCAGGTGCTGCGTCCACTTGTCAGGTTGACAGCTACCTGTGTGAGGGTGCCTGGGTCAAATGGTCAATCTTCCCTGGGCCGTGGAGGAACAGGAGGGATTACCACAATTGTTATCACAGGAGCAAATCATCAGCTAATCATTAATTCCTCTTTGTAATGCTTATTTATTTATTTGAGTTGGAGTCTCACTTCTTCATCCAGGCTGGGGTACAGTGGCACGCATGCTCACGCCCACTCCAGTATCGACTTTCTGGGCTCCAGCGATCCTTCCACCTCAGCCTTCCAAGTAGCCAGAACTACAGACATACGCTACCCCGCCCGGCTATTTTTTGTCGAGATGAGGTCTTGCCAAGTTGCCCGAGCTGGTCTTGAACCACCAAGCCAGCCCCTGTAATGCTTTTTTAAATGATACACTACTTGGAGATTGAAAGAAACACAGGCCAGGCGTGGTGGCTCAAGCCTGTAATCCCAGCACTTTGGGAGGCCAATGAGAGGATTGCCTGAGCTCAGGGGTTTGAGACCAGCCTGGGCAACCTGGCAAGACCTCGTCTCTACAATAAATCAATTGGCAAGACCTTGTCTCTACAATAAATCAAAAAATTAGCCGGGCATGGTAGTGCTCGCCTGTAGTTCCAGCTACTTGGAAGGCTGAGGCAGAAGGATCACCTGAGCCCAGCAGTTTGAGGCTGCGGTGGCCATGAGCGTGCCACTGC